GATCAAACCAGTCAGTCCTAGAGGAGATCAACCCTGATTGCTCTTTAGAAGGCCAGATCCTGAAGTTGAAACTCAAATACTTTGGCCACCTAATGAGAAGGAAGGACTCACTGGAGAAGAGCCTGATGCTGGGAAAGATTGAGGGCAATAGAAGAAGGGGACGACAGAGAATGAGGTGGCTTGATGGAGTCACTGAGGCAGTAGGCGTGAGCTTAAATGGACTCCAGAAGATGGTAGAGGACAGGAAGGCCTGGAGGAACGTTGCCCATGGGGTCACGATGGGTTGGACACAACTTCGCAACTAACAACAACAACAACATAGTTACAATGGTGATGAAAAAGTAACTTTGCAACCAATCCTCACATTTATGACTTTCATAGGTCTGTAAAGCAAAGGAAAGCTAAAATAAGATGATAACACAGTGGCAGTTTCTTAGTGGCCACTTCATTTGGAGACCAAGTTGCCGGTCCTGATTGAGATTGCTAAACAAGGACCACCTGTAATAGAAAGGAAGTGCTGCTCCTGCCTGCTTTGGTTCTTGCCCATATTTCATTGGTGTATAGTAACTGGTATATTACCCCAAAAAGAAAGCAGCCCTCCATGAGCAAAATGAATGTAGCCTTGATATTAGATGTTTTAGAGTATTTATCACTACTTGAGCATCTATGTCAACTGAGATTTGAAATATATTGCAGATGGGGAGACTTCTCTTTGAAGTAATAATTTTTGCAGGAATCTATTAAAGAAAATTGTTCTTATGTTGAAAGGCAGTATAAACAGATTTCCTTCCATTTCTCTCCTCCCTACTCCTGCCCCACAACCCCCAGATTCACTCCTGCAGCACATGTTTGTGGTTCGGTTTTTGGGCTCTATGGCTGTCAGATCTGACCACACAGTGGAGGTGATCTATGAAGCAACGCGACAGGTGTTGGCAGCTCGGGCCATTCATAACATTTTCCGTACAACTGAATCCCATCTCTTGGTCACCAGCAATGACCTGAAGTAAGCATACTTTGCCTTCTCTGATCCATTCCCACTTAACTTTCCCTCTTTTAGTTTTGTGCCCTTTCTGTGGTTTTAGTTGTAAAGTGATTGTAGGAATGGAATCACAGTCACAGAAAAAACATTAGGGAGAGGAGGCAGATTTTGTTATCTGATGCACATCTGCCCCAGTGTTGGTCCTTCAACAAAAGTGTGGGAGGAGCTAAAAACCTAAGAAGAGCTTTGCTAGATCAAAGGCATGTCTAGTCAAATCATCTTGATACTTTTCATTACTCAACTAAATAGTCACAGTCTTGTGCATCCCAAGCTGTAAGTAGTGAAAAAAACTACTGATGATGAAGGCAATGCTAGCCTTCATGAGTGGTAGTTATTGATCGCTCTTCTTCAGGGCCTGGAAAGGGGAGGGAGATGCCATGCCCCATCCCTTATTGGCAGGAGTTTCAACTTCATCAAAAATTGTTTTGTTCATAGAAGGTTTGCTCTGGATTCAGTCATGATGGAGTTTATTGCCTTTTAAACTTGAACATATTTTTCCATTAACAGATTGATAGATCCTCAAACACAAGTTACAAGATCAAATGTAAGCACATGCTTTCTTTTATCACTACAGAAAAATTGCAGTCCCTGAGAATTTGGGTAAATTTATATTATTTTCACTTTCTTTTTCAGTTTGAACTAGCCAATGTGACACAGTTTGCTGCTCACAAGGAAAACAAGAGGCTGTTTGGGTTTGTGGTTTGTGCCTCTGAATTGCCAGGTGAAGAGGGCATGAGTGCTTATGTGTTTGAGAGTAACACTGAAGGTGAAAAGGTATGGAAATAGCTTTGTTGTATAATTAGAACTTCATACATGTAACTGCTTTCTTCAGTGAAATGCAGTGTTATGAGCTAATGACCCAACTGTTTTGTAAAATGCAGTCAAATAAAAACAGCAATAGCAGCAAGTTCATTATAAGAATATAGGATGTGTAACTAAGCAGCACCTCTTTTGCAACCCTCAGAATGGATTGGGCCAAACATTTTGAGAGATTTATTTCCAGTTTTGTTTTATTTTTTGTGGAGTTCCAATTCTTAAGCTTCCCAACTGCTTGTTACTCTTCAAATAATCATCCAAAAATTGGTCCTGATCTTGTCCACTTTCAAATTATAGTGCACAAAATCTAATGCAGCCTTCAAACTAACATGTCCTCTTTGATACCAGTAGACCTTGACTTATGATCATTTAACGATGGCTTGAAGTTATGTTGGTGCTGAAAAAAGTGACTTAGATCCCATCCTTGAAGTTATAAAAGTTGCACCATCTCCTGTCTTGTGGTCATGATTTGGGCACATGGCAATTGGCTCACATTTACAATGGTTGCAGCATTCTATCATCACAATCATCCCCCACTGACTTTGCCTTTGACCTTCCCAGCCGGCTTCCGATAAGCAAAGTCAATGGGGGATGCCAGATTCGCTTAATGATCACATCAATTCACTTAATGGCCATGGTAAAATGGTCACAAAATTAGGTCTAGTTACACGATGACTCGCTTAACAATTGAAATTCTGGTCCAGTAGTAGTTGTAAGTCAAGGAGTACCTGTAACCTTGATATCATGGGCTTATTTCAGTTCAAGAAAGTTTATTTTTATCCTGCCTTTATTATTTTTAAAAATAACTCAAGGTAGCAAACAGTTTATTTGTAGCCCGCTTTTATTTTTTTTACAAATAACTCAAGGCAACGAACATACCCAACACACGTTTCCCCCTATTTTCCCCACAATTTTGTGAGGTGAATTGGGCTGAGAGTGTGACTGGCCTTGAAATGGAATGTTTTCTTCTGCTTATGGTATCCATTTAAAATGACCCATTGGTAGAATTTCCTTTGTTAATTCCAACCTATGGCTTGGAAATAGAGCAGTAGTACCATAGAAAGGAGTACGATTTGTGTTTCCTTATACAGGTTGTTGGATTACAATTTCCTTTAGTCATAGCTAATTATATTATGAGCATTATAGTCAGTATCTGGATGGTTATATGGCTAGTGCCTGACAACTAATTGGAAGTAAACAGTTGTTCTAAACTCCTGCCAGTGCCAGAAAACTGTTGCTTCAGCAACGGTCTGAAGCGTCTTTCCTTGTCATAAATGCTGTTAGTACAGCATTGTAAAGCTTTCACAGACTGTTTGGTGGTCTTAATTTTATTATTGGGAATGTTGCCACATGTTTTCTGAACCTGTAATCCAGATCCAGTGATAGGAGAAATTATTCAGGAAATACTGAGCTTTGTCCATTTATTTGCAGTTTTAAATAGGTAGTATAATCAAGAAAAAAATGTAAGTGGTACTAAGGCAGCTTCTGTTTCTTCTGTAGATTTGCTATGCAATAAATCTGGGGAAGGAAATCATTGAGGCTCGAAAGGTAATATATTTAACCTCATATTCCTTATCCTCTGAATAAAATATGGCTTTTGATTCTCTGGTATTTATTGTTATGACTACACAGAATTCAAACAAATCACCTTTACTTTAGAATTAAGAGGATATGATCTGGAGCTAATTCTATACAGTAAATTCCATAAACTTAGTTACTAAATAACAACTCTTGGTATTGAATTGAGTGATTTCAATGTTTTGTATAGTGCATGTGATGTGCTTAGGGAGTCCTTCAGCCAGTAACCAAGTATAGATAACTAGCATCTAATTTGCTTACAGATATGGATCAGGTAAGTATCTACTTCCGCTGAACTTAAGCATGTTGAGTTTTGAATAACTATTAGATGATAAATTAGGAAAAATGAGCTTGATAATGAAGGATTATGAAGGTCAATACAAGGTCAAACAAATAAGCTTTGACAAGTTCTTGGGTTGTCTATTTGCTTCCCCCCCCCATTGTCTTGATATAACAGCAGCCTTCAGCATGATTTTTAGGACTGAGTTTGTTTCTTGGAAGAGTCAGTTCGGTTTTGTGGTTAAGGCATCAGGCTAGAAACTGAAAGACCATGGATTCTAATCCTACCTTAGGTACAAAGCCAACTGGGTGGCCTTGGGTAGCCACTTTCTCTCAGCTCTAGGAAGTATGCAATGGTAAATCATTCTAAAATTATGTCAAGAAAACTAAAGGCAGTTTAGTCAAGGCACTTGCCAGAAGTCAAAAACTGACTAAAATGTGTGTGTGTGTGTGTGTGTGTGTGTGTGTGTGGGGGGAGGAGTTTCCTGGGCCATGTAGACCCCTTTAGAAATTATACATTAAACATGACTGGAATCCAGTATTTTGTTTGGAGCTTATAATTTTACACAATCACCTGAACATAAACCAAGTATTGCAGGATGTGTTCTTATCATTTTGTCTTCTGTCAAGCAGATGTTTATGTCACTAACTTTGGAAGCTGTTTTGTGGGAGTACCCAAAATAATCTTAAAACTCCAAGTATGCAAAATTAGGCCACCCTTATTTGATTTCCATTTCCATTTTTCTAGTCTAATTCAAGAAATATACACAGGAATTTTTGCACTCACACGAACTTCTCAGTTAAGAACTGTTGTTTCTCCATCATCTAATAGAATCATGTTAAAAGCATTCCAATATAATGAAAATGATTCTAGATATTATTTCAGTTGGAATTAAAAATGTCAACTGAAAGCCGACTTCAGGAAAGTAAAAATATGAAGTCAGTTTACAATGTCTGTAAGATGATTAACAAAACATTTTCTAGCCATGGGAATTGTTAAGATATACAGTACCTTATGAGAACTTTTGAGAAAATGTCACTGCAGGCATAAATAGCATGGGCTTTTAGTGGCTGGTCTGGTGTGGGAACACAGCAGAAAGGAAACTGGCTCTTGATTTATAGGCTGCTTTTTGAAAAGACATTCATGAAATTACATTTTATTTGCCTTGAATAATTTTCATTTGTCATTTTAATTATAGGATCCAAAAGCTCTAGCTCAATTAATATCATCCATGCCTCTGACTAATGATGGAAAATTCAAGTTATTGAATGACCAGTCAGAAGAAGACAATGTTGTACATGGAGAAGAACAGGAGTCAGAAGCATAACTTGTAATTTCTCTCAGTGGAGAGATGATGGTGCCCATAAGAGAGAATGCCCTGTGCTCTCAGCTGTGGTCCAACATAGATGGGCTAGAATAAACACCAAGAGATGAGAACTTGATCCAAATTTTGGGTATAGAAAACTGACAGTCTTTTTAAAATTCTTCCTCAGTACCAAACCATCTTGATACTGATGGGAGGACCACAAAGTCATCACTGCCACCAGCAAAGAATTAATTCCTCATGAACATGTATTCACAAAATTTATAAATAAATAAACACATATTTCACATAATTCTACTAGCTATAGTAGAGAGGAAGGAATTGCACAGGCCACAAAATTTCTGAAAGTCTGGAATAAAATACAGAGGCACTTCACAGACAAACTAATATTTTGCATCTTAATTGAAATAAGTAGAAGAATTGAAGTGTTTGGAATATAATCTCAGTGATAAATACTTTATTTGCTCCTATTTGCATACCTTTTTGAAAAGTAATGGGAAAGCTATTTTAAACTAGGCTATTTAGAAAGATATTCAATAACAGTTTCTACTAATATTTATTTTTATACGTTTATCTGAGTTAAGCTTTCAGAATTAAGTGCCTAATTTGTGATAATGTAAAACAAAAAACTCAAGCGAATAGAAAATAGATGGACCAGAAAGCAAGTTAGAACTATTATGAATCTCAATCATTTATCAAGGCTGAAGAAAAGATGAGTGAGTGGTTATCACTGCCATTCAAATAAGATGTTGGCTAACATTTTTGCACTGTTTTGTAAGACAAGACAACAGCTTTCCTACTTTCACATGAAAGTTTACAAATTTGATAGAAGATGAAGACAAAACAATTTCTTGAAGACAAAACAATTTCTTCAAACCTAGATATAAGCAGCACCAGAAGCACTTTCACACTATCCTGGGAAAAGCAGTTTCTTCAGAAAGAAAATCAAGCTGGGCACAGCAGTGCTTATACTATCTTCTTTATTTGACATTCTTCCTCGTGGAGCCAGCACAAATTTGGATATATCTGCTTTGGTAGCTTTAGGTTTACTCTTTTAAATTAAAAACACACTGTAAATAAATTACAATGATAGCTGGATCTCATGAATAATTTTATCTAACTTTAATTGTTTATATGATGTTTTAATGTTAAAACAAGGTCCACATCTTGCACTACAACAGTTTCAGCAATAATGGCTAAAGTAAGCCTGAAAAATAGATGAGAAAGGGATTCAATTATGTAAATTATAGTACAGGACATGTTATGATTTAATAACATCTTAAGAGTTTTAAACTAGAAGACTAGAAAAATGCCAGTAGAGATTCTGAAAGTGTATTGTACCGAAGTTTTCTGTATTAATATTCAAATTGTTCTAATTAATATAATAAATATAAGCAGATCAAATCATTTAAGTGCAATACGCTTATATTAGCTGAAGCTGTTCCCATGTTAATATTAACATCCAATCTAGTTGATACGAACTATATGCAGTGAAACAGAAATGGATCGTATTTTGGCTGCTCTAGAGATAGAAGCAGAAGGTGCCCTCTGAATTTGCCTAGTCGTATTACTCTGTATTTTATAGATTCCATACAGAGGTATCTTAGTAGTGATCAAACTATAAATAAAGAACTATTAGAACGGACTGACACTATTATATTTAAACAAGTATACTTCACTTTTTGTTATCCATTAGAAAGAATGTGGGGCACATTTCTAAATGAAATTTATTTCAAAACTTACTATAGAATAAATTATATTTCAGTTAGCCCTATGAAATTGATTAAATCAATTTTAGCATTCTGGTTTAGCTGTAGATTGAAGTATCTACATTGGTAAACCTGGTTCTCATTAAAGATACAGCAAAGAAGTCAAAACATCCCAGGCTTGTGACCATTATATACAAATCCATTTTTTCCAAATTTCCATTTATTAACATTATGTACAGAATATCTAACAAGAAAGTATTGAGGTAACAGGTTTTTTGTTTTGTTTCATTTTGTTTTTGTAAATGAATTAGAATAAGACATGTTATAATTTTGTCTCTTTCATTCCTGAGAATGTGAACATAGATGGAATAGGTCAGAGTAACTCAATGACAACAGGATCTCCCTTCAGTAACTTTGGCAAAAGCTCAAACATACAAATATACAAAATATTCATGGCTTTGCTGAGTAAATCCCTATCACTCCTGGTAGGCCTTGCGATTTTATTTTGGAAGACCATGTAACAGCTAAGAGAACCTTTACTGGAAGTGACCTAGACATTTGTGTTCAATTACGTATTTCACAGAAAATAAAGATTCCTTACAAATAAAGATTAAGAATTTGAAAGAGAAAAATCTCTCTGTGGCATGCTTTTGTAAATAAAATACGTGGAGAAGATGCCATAGCTACTGTCTCCATGTTGGAAGACAGATTATTCACAAGATGAAACAGAAGAAGGCAAACAATAATTCCATGTCTTACTGAACCCACCACCGATCCTATACAATTACGTTAAATAATTCCTAATTCCCGTTTAATCTGCCACACATATAACAGCTGTGAAAGGCTTTTATCTACTGAAAGCCCAAACGCTATAACAACTTTTTCTGTGGCAGAAGGACACAATATTAGACTTCCAAGAACTGAGTTGAATTCAAGGCCCAAATTATTTTTGCACTACTTGGTTTTACAGTTTCATTTTTTGTAAGAGTAGCAACCATCCTATATTCACAAAGCTCTATGTTTACATATTCACAATAACATTGCATATACATGCTTTTAGAATCTAGACAATTAAGGATGCTTTTTTCAGTATCTCACAAAGATGTTAGTTTAGTTAACACTGTACAATTATCCGTATATCTAAAATAGGAGTCTCTCAAATTAAATGCCAAAAAGGTATGAAAATGAGTATGTTTATTACAGCACATAGCTACCTTAAGCTTAGTATGCTTATACAGTCTCTGGGACATTGCAAGTTGTCCATTTAAGTCAGCAGTCTAATTGGTAAAATCTATGAATTAGACAGTCTTTTTTTTTCAAGGGGGATTATATGCACTGGGAAACAAGCAGTAACAACCATATTAAGGATGTCATTTTATACATTTAGTATTATTGAATCCATTAGGTATAAGAATATTTTAAAACTTTCTAATAACAAATTTTCTCCCTTATCAATCACATCTTGGATCAAAGTAGCATACTTGACTGGAACTCCAAATACTGTCCTTAGTGAGTATTACAATAAATTATGTGATATTTCATAGCACGTCTGGCTCACTATCAGACCGATGAGGTGGATGATCTATGCCAATCTGGTTCCATCCATTTCAACAAATCACAGTTGCTCTAGAGTTCTACAGAACATAAAACAACAAATAAATCAAGCTATACACTCTGAGAAACGTTCACCTTTTCAACGCCCTCCCCAAATTATCCTTAATCCCTAGGAGCAGATTTAAGTGAATGAAGGAGAAAAGGAATCTATTAGTAGACAAGCACAACTGAAAATTTCTTTTTAAAGATTAAAGCCGTCTGTTTTTAAATTTTAATTTGTTAGTTTGTTCCTTTTTTTTTTGCAGTCAGATGGTAATCAGAACTTTTTTTTTTTTTTAAAAAAAAGCATTTTGAAAAAAAAAAAGATGAAATGGCACTTTGTAAGTAGGGCTCTGCACCCGTTGAAAATTATTCAGAAGAAACAATTCAGACCTCATTCGAAGACAATACTTCTCAGCTACTCATTAAAGTAGGCATCTGTGTGAAAAGTGCAGTTTTAGGGATTTACCACAAAAAAAAACTCTCTTAAAGCAACATGCTTTCCTTTCTTCTGAGGAAACCTGAAAAAAAATCAGTTTTAAAGAACAGCTAAAGAAGTGCTGGCTGATACAAAGCCTAAATTGCTTCTTCCAAATCATTTTTCAAAATGTGCACAGCTATCTTTTATGCTATTTCATTTGCTTATTTATTTATTATTTATTTATTATTTACATTTATATCCCGCCCTTCTCCTTTCGGACTCAGGGCGGCTAACAATCAATTAAAATACAAAAAATACAATACTTTTGCCATTGTGCTGTATAAGAACTCACCCTGAACCAAAATCTATAAGTAAGCATTATTTTCTCACCCATTACTTCTGGATGGGGAAGCCTATCCAAATTCAGTGCAATTATTGACCCCCCTTTATAAAATAATCAGAATTCACAGTTATATCACAGTATTCAATTTCAATATGATGCTGCAATTTAAACAAATATTTAACATTTCTTCTAGGTTTGCTAGAAACATAGAAAAAGTGCAATTAATTTTAGGGTAGGAATCCTCACCTTTTTGGAGGAACATAAATAAATTATATTTCTGAATGCTTCAACACTTAAATGTCTATGTTAATATAGCTTCTAAATTGGAAACACTATTAAGAAAAGCCATATAATCACATCCATAAATTAACCATACCAGAGCTCTCATTTTACAAGAGGATCTGCAGAAGTAGAATTTGAAAGGTCGTTGTTTGTTTTTGCAGATTCTTCTATAATACAAAAAGAGCCCATTTTAACTATTTTATATTTTCACCATTGAGTAAAAAAATAGATGCTTTTTACACATTCATGTAATTAATTCTGAACTAATAATTTCCAATGGACAGATGTTTGTGAAGGGCTTTTATATGGGGTAGAATCAAAAGGGCTTTTATATGGGGTAGAATATCAGTAGAAATAAAAGAGTGAAATGCCAAGAAAAAAAATACGGCTACCATTTATCTAAATAGCAACGAACATCTTAGCTAATATGTAAGTTACCTCTAAATGCAAAAATATGCCACACTCTAAAACTATTTTGTGAATAGACTATCCCACAATCTGAAATTCCTATATTTTATTTTCTGTTTGTTATTCTCTCTTCTAAACATAGATTATATACTTTCCAAAAGAACATCATTCCATTTATCTGATGAAATGGATAGTGCCACGTAAGAACTTAGGCTATAATAAATGCATTATTTTTAAAGTATTACAGATCTTTGTTGTATTTAGCACTACAGGTAGTCCTCAACTTACAATCATTCATTTAGTGATGGTTCAAAGTTGCAACAGCATTGAAAAAAGTGACTTATGACTGTTTTTCACACTTCACAACCATTGCAGCAGCCCCATGGTCACATGACCAAAATTTGGATGCTTGGCAATTGGTTCACTTTTATGACAGTTGCAGCATCCCAGGGTCATGTGATCACCTTTTGTGACCTTCTATTAAGTAAAGTCAATGGGAAAGCCAGATTCATTTAACAACCATGTTATTAATTTAGCAACTCCTGTGATTCACTTAACAACTGTGGCAAGAAAGGTCATAAAATGGGGCAAACTCACTTAACAACGGTCTCACTTAGCAACAGAAATTTTGGACTAAATTGTGGTTGAAAATCAAGGATACCTAAAATAGCCTACTATTTCATTATGTTTTCTAGCAATTGTTCAGTGAAAAACCACAATATTAATGTGAATTATTCCACTAGTCTGAATTACCTACTCATTCTCTAAATTGGTGATAATAAAATTCAGGCTTATAGAAACGGAATGCTATTTTTTTTTACTAGTATTTATTCCTCCATGGATTTGTAGCTTAGTGCACATAGGAATGGAAAACAATTTGCATTCGGTGCCACAACTCCCCAGAGAGCAGAATATTTCCTACTAACCTTCACTGTCTCTTTTATCTTGGTTTTCTTCTGCTGCAGTTTTATCTGCTCTAAAAAAGATCCGTGCGCTGCTTAGTGAGAAATAAAGTAGTTCAAATTCCTATGAGAAATGAAAATAGATCTGCATGTTTTAACATGCCACAGAATCACAGAATCTCCAAGTTGCTTTAAGGTGCATGAATATATGAAACTTCCATAAATATTGTGCACAATTTATACCTGAATTATCAATAGCATATTTTGCATATTATCAACACAATTTGGTGAAGAATATTATTCAAAGCATAGAATTGAATATATTTTTCTTCATTTTACTGTTAATACCCTACTTATAATGTACGTATTCCTAGATTACCTGTGTTCCTTTGGACAGTTTCTTGTCCAAGATCAATTATTTATAATCCATTAATAA